CCCCCCCCAAAAAAAAAGGAAAAGAAAATTAGAATGGACTACTCTTTGAGTATGAGAACCTACTCTAATTTTATTAGTAACCAGTAATCATACCACAAATAATCTGAATCCATAAATATCAACCCCACAATTTCTTTTACATAAGATAAAAGAATTCCAAAATATCCAGGCAAAGCTTTTGCTTTTGTTAAACTCTTCTGTTTAACTTTAGCCAAAAAGTGTAGGGATGGTGACGGCAGTAGCACTAGAACAACAAGAGAAAACAACAAGAAGATTTTACTCCTATCATGCTTAATTAAGTACCACTTAAGTGTGGCCTCAAATTTTCCCAATAACATATTACGAATGTTCACTAGACTTGCAATTGGTTGTTAAAAGAAAATTATATACCTTTCGTTCTATCCATATTTTTGTTAGAAAAATTACACTGTATAGCCGTTGTAAAAATAATAATCGAAAATATATATATATATATATATATATATAATAATAAAATTATACAAGTTTTATATACTTTTTCGGCTACCAGATGTAAATAGTTTCTGGGACGGGTTAAAAGTGATAATACCCCTATTTGTTTAATTATTAGTCTCCCTATCCTATTTATATGACGCTCTTTTCATTTTAATCAATCTAAAAAAGAATGATTTCTTTTTTTATTCCGACAAATTTTCTTGAGAAAGTATTGTGTCCATCTTGTAGTTTATGCATGGAGGTAAGTCAGGGGCGGATTTAGGTTCACCCGAATCCTATTCGCCGAAAAATTATATTGTGCATATAAGGTAAAATTTATTTTGTGTATCTATATATTATATTTTGAATACTCTTGACTTGGCCCAAAAGCGTAGCTCAATCGCTAAGGAGGGTCAAAATCTTTGTGAGGTTGGTAGTTCTATTCCCACTGACCACAATTTCTTTTAAATTTTTAACCCTCCCCAGATCCCACTTCTGAAATTATACTTAATTTGTTGTTGTTGTCTCTTTTCTGAACCCCGATATTTGATATTTAGCTTAAAGTATATATATATATATATATATATATATAT